CCGACAAGCAGCAGTCAGGACGCCTGCGCGCGCACCGAAGAAGCACTTAGAGCAGCCTACAAAGATCATCAACAGCAGAGGGAGGATCAACACATGCATGAACCGCAACAGCAACAAGGTACTGCCTGTGTCGACGACGAAGCCCGACGATACCTACAAGCACTCATCACACAACGCTGGAACACGCCGCACAGCGACACAGCCACGAGGACAACTCTCAGCAAACGTATTCTACGTCAGCACCGGGCGATTAAAAGAGCTCAGCGGCAGGTGGCGCTGAACGAGATCATAACTAAGTTCAGGGGCCTCAACAACATATCCGGCATCAAATCCAGCAAGAAGAAGGACCTCATACCAGCCATGACGACGGCAGACGGTGTCCACCAGACAGACCGTCATGGGATTGCTGACGTCTTCGCCGATTTCTACGAGAAGTTGTACCGGTGCCCCCCCGAAGCTCATCCGCCAGCGCAGGAGAGTGCAACCTCCCACACCAATAACAACACGACGACTCACATGTTACAGAGTATCCCACCTTTCACCGACGACGAACTACACCAGGCAGTGAAGCAACTGAGAAACGGCAGGTGTAAAGATACGGCAGGTCTTACCGCAGAGCTTCTGAAAGCAGGAGGGCGCATCATCGAACAGCACTTGTTGAAGCTCTTTAACGGCATCTTGGCGCCGGAGCAGACACCGCCAGAGCAATGGAGACGGACTACAATCAGCGTCATACACAAGTCTGGGGATCCACAACTACCCAATAATTACAGACCAATTGCCATCATACCGTTGCTGTACAAGCTAATGGCCCGACTGCTTTGCAACAGACTCGAGGCGCACTTCGACTCACAACAATCACCTGACCAAGCTGGCTTCCGAAAAGGTTTCTGCACGGAGGATCACTTATTCACCACAACGATGCTATTCGAACAATCCAACGAATGGCAAATGAATCTATGGACGGCAGCGATAGACTTCAAGAAGGCATTCGATTGCGTATATCACCACTGCCTCTGGGAAGCTCTCCGCGATCAAGGTGTGCCTGCACCCTACATCACCATGCTCCAGAAATTATACAATAGACAGACTGCGACAGTGCGGACCGACGTCAACAGCAGAGGATTCAGTATTGAACGGGGCGTCAAACAAGGCGACCCTCTAAGTTCTTACTTGTTCAACGCGTTGCTCGAGCACGTGTTCCGGAAACTCAAGCCAGTCTGGACACGAAAGGGCTTTGGCATTAAATTGGGACATACCAAACCGACGCTTCTTACCAACTTGCGCTTTGCAGACGACGTCCTACTACTCGCACCCAACCTGAGACAACTGAAATGTACTCTTCGTGATCTCAAACAAACAGCGTCAAAATGTGGGCTCGAGATACATCCAGACAAGACGAACATCCTCACGAACATAAGCCGGCGACAGGGGCGAACGATTACTCATGTTGATATCGACGGCGACAGAGTCGAAATCCTCAGCGACGAACAGAGCACGAAGTGCCTCGGCCGGAAGCTTACATTCCACGACTACCCCACCGAGCTCGCCAACAGAATCGCAATGGCATGGCGCAAATTCAACCAATTGCGCGACGAACTAACGAGCAAACGGTACCCGCTCCACAGCAGGCTCCGGCTATTCAGCGGCGCCGTAACACCGGCAGTGATGTATGGCTGCACTTCGTGGACTCTTACCAAAGACCTGCTGTTGACATTACGACGTGCACAACGACGTATGCTACGACTCATTGTGAACACTCCGAGGCGACGGGGGAGCACCCGACAGGACGCAGCAGCCGACGACGACGCCCAGTCCAACCCTGCTCGCACCGACGATGACACCAGCGACAGCACGACCGACGCAAGAAGGGAATTCGAGTTCGACGACGTCGAAGACGATACAGGACTCGAACCATGGGTGGAGTTCATTCGCAGAGCCACACATGTGGCTACAGATCTCGCTGCCCGCTCCCACGTGGACGAGTGGACAACAGTATACTACAGACGGAAATGGCGGTGGGCAAAGCGAGTGGCAACACACTCGAACCTTAGATGGACAAGGCTTGCGGCAGCATGGGAGCCGGAAGTCCACGACAATCGAATAGCACAGCGCAGACATGGACGACAACGCAAGCGGTGGTGCGACGACATATCACAGTTTATACAAATTACCACTGGGAGTATCACCAAACATTGGTTATATTATGCTTGTGACCAGAAATTATGGGACAGCTGGGAAGACGCCTTCCTCCACCACATGCAATGACCGGGCTCCGGCCCACCCGCGCTGCTCCTAGGGGGCCCGCCGGCCGTCCGGCGGACTGAGCGCGCTCTTCTCTTCTCTCCCAGCATTCACCACCAGCTATCGCCATTCAGCCTTCCACCTCCAGTCTTGGACCTCCACTCCTGGACTTCCACCTCGTGTGACCGACATCCAACTTCCAACTTCCGACTCCCAACACGCACCACACGCTGACGACATCCAACCCTCCATCTCCTGCTTTCGACCCGCACCTGTCGACCTCCCACTTCGCGTGACCGACACCTAGTCAGCAGCATCCGAGCCCCAGCATTCACCACCAGCTCTCACCGTCCAGTCTTCCACTTCCAGCTCTCGACCTCCACCTGTCGACCTCCGGCAACAAGGGCAATTTCTTCAGCCCCAAGGGCTCTTGCAAGTTGCCACAGAGGAGTTTTGGAACACGACCGAACAGGACTTCTGACCGGGCCTCGCTTTCTGACGCTCTGGCGCTCCAGCGCCGCACCCGCAGCACCCTAGACGGTGCCCAAGTGCGGGCGTGCTTCGTGCTTCGCGAATGCGCGCGGCGCCCAGGCGACAGCCGCATTTTGGCAAGGAGCCGCCCTCAATGAGTTACAGAGTTTTGAAGCGAATGTGCGCGGCGCCAAAGCGAGAGCCACATTTTGAAAACCACCCGCCCTCAATCTGTTAATTGCTTGAAATTATGTTCAAACGAATCCGCACGGCACCTAGTAGGCGAGAGTGACATTGTGCAAGCGGCCCGACCTCTATCTGCGAAACTGTTGCCAGCTTCTGAGCTTCAGATTCATAAGCTGGCTCAGGGAGTCTCAGGCTAAACGCCCGGGAGTCTCATAAGCGATGAGGGAGTCTCAGGCTAAACGCCCGGCCCGCCTTTCCGACTGGCCTCGGGGTGCGACAGGGAAGAGTTGTTCTTACGGAAAAAAACAGCGAGGACGAGGATTAAGACGAGGACGAGGATGGGAAGGAGGTGGAGGATGAAGAGGAGGAGGAAGAGGAGGAGGAGGAGGAGGAAAAGGAGGAGGATGAGGAGGAAGAGGAGGAGGAGGAGGAGGAGGAAGAGGAGAGAGGAGAGAGGAGCGAGGAGCGAGGAGCGAGGACGAGGACGAGGACGAGGAGAAGGAGGAGGTGGAGGAGGAGGAGGAAGAGGAAGAGGAGGAGGAGGAAGAGTAGGAGCGAGGAGGAGGAGGATGAGGAGCGAGGAGGACGAGGAGGAGGAGGAGGAGGAGGAGGAAGAGGAGAAGGAGGGGGAGGAGGAGGATTAGTAGGGACACGGAGGGAGGAGGGAGGGAGTCATGCTGCCTGGAGTGTTCAGAAATCGATCCAGGTGTGCACTGAAATCCGCGCCCACAGTAGCAGCGTTTTTGGGCAAGTTCGTGCGATTCGAGGTCTAACGTGCCTCCCAAGCGTGAGCCGTCTTCGATGGGAGGGACGGCACGAGCTGCTTTTAATCATACCGCTGGTCGTCTGAGCTTTCTCTCGAGGAAGAATAAACGGCATAGACATCAACATAAACTTTCGACGGTCCGCACGGATTTCTTGGATTGGCGCGCCTCGGCGCCGATCCAGGAAATTCGCGCGGAGCTCCGAAACTTGATGTTTATGCCGTCTTTGTGGTCCTTCGCTTCCCTCCGTTTTTCTCGCTCCCACGTCCCCGTAACTTCGCAACTTTTGTTACGGTGTCTCGTAATTGCCAGTGCATACTTGTGTCGTCATACGTGCAAGATCCAAGAGGCCATGGCCTTCCCCGCCTGGTCTCAGCTGGGCTTGGACTCCTGTCCGTTGTGGTGGTTCGTTCGTTCGTTCGTCCGTTCGTTCGTTCGTCCGTTCGTTCGTTCGTTCGTCTTTCACCGAGCGCTTCCACTGCTCGCAGAGCGCCTACTCGAACACGTAAGAAAAACAAGCACATGTGCCTCGATGTCATGGATCGTGACTCCCCCGCGGCGGATCCGCGCCATGTGCGAGCAAGTATTCTGCGAGCAGTGGAGCGCGCTTGTCTAGCCTCCTCTCTCGCTCCCCGACCTTCCAGGAAGGCGGCGGCCAGGGATCGCAATTCCCCCACGGCGGATCCAGGCCGTTTGCCAGCAATTCTTCTTCTGCGAACAGTGGAGCGCGCTTGTGTAGCCTCTCCAGACATCCAGCTTCTCCAATTTTTTCTATGCCTGGGCCCTGGAGGTCCAGACCACTTCCCCATAGGGCCAGTTTTTCGTCTCCGGAGCCGCGTTTTTTTGACGCTCCCGAGGCCCGGCGAGGACCCCCTGGAGGCCGAAGACTGCCCAAACCCCGCCGCTCCAAATTCTCTCTGGAGCCTCGGAGCTCTGGGAGCGGAGCACGCTCGTCTGGCCTCTCTCGCTCCCCGACCTCCCCTGAGATCCGACGGTCTCCGACGTCTCGAAAAAATTGAGACGCCGCGAGACATCGAGCTTGCATCCCTGTGACCCCAGCTTTCTGCGCCCTTTTCCGAGCTGCATCGATCTGTGAGGGCCCCGGGGCCCGAACTTATGCGAAAGCGCCCGGCTCGACAAAATTGGGTCGCCAGGATCTCTGGGTCTCGGCCACGCGCAGAGGGGGGGCGGGGGGAAGGCTTGTCAGAAGCCCACCTGCTTCTCACAAGGCGCCGGCCTCATCTGTAGATGCAAGGCCGGCGCCTTCTAAGAAGCAGGCTCCTGCTAAGAAGCCTTCCCCCCCTCCCCCCCCCCCTTGGTGCGCACCGCGGCCAGGCGGCGGCGGCCAGGGCCCGGACGGCAGCCACGGCGGCCAGGCTGGCGAAGCGGCCCCCGAGGGCGCGCGCCCGCCCCGCGGCCGGGGGCCCGCCGCGGGCGGGCCAGGCGCCCGCGCCTCGTCCCCCCATTCCGCCTCGATTCGCCTCGGGCCTTCTGATCAGGATCGTGTCACCGATCCCCATGCCCGTGCCCGTCCCCGTCCACATCTCGAGCCCCACCGTCTCACCACCTCCGTTGGGGATATGCCCCTCGAGACCCGAGGAGAGCAGCCTATGTCCCCTATCAGGGGGTAAATCGGCCAGTGAGGCCCAGCCCACGCTGGGGGGGATGGGGATTGGTTAAGCGATGCTCATATGGCGTTCCAACCTATTTTGCCTTGACCACCAGAGAGAGCTTCGAGCACCAAGGAAGTCTCGAAACTTGAGGGTTATTTCACGTGTCGGTCGGGCCCCAGGAGGCGATACTCGTTTGACACTGTTTCGATACTTTTCTGAGTGATCGAAATTATTTCTGTGATGTGATCCTTGAGTACGATGGGGGCAACATAACTCGGGCCTCCGATGTGGTTTCCGATGTGTCTCCCTGGAGGCCTGCTACTGTAATGATCGAAGGGGAAAAGAACGGCGTAAACGTAGATATTTGGCGCTCCGCGCGGATTTCTTGCATCCGCGCTGGGCCCCACCCGCCGGCGCATCCGGCGCCGCCCCTGGCGCGCTCCAGAGGGGGGGCCTGGCGCGGATCCCAAGAGATCCGCGCGGAGCGCAACCAGTTTATGTTCATGTAGCTTTTTCTTCGCCTGTGGAGGCCTGCTAACGAGCCTGCCGAGTCCCGCCGATCCGACTCTTCCCGACTCGGCTGCCGCGTTCCGCCGATGCGATTCCGATCCGACTTGTCGATCCGATTCTCGCTGTCGCCGTCACCGTCGTCGTCGTCGTTGTCGTCGTCGTCGTCCTCGTCATCCTCGTCGTCCTCGTCGTCGTCGTCCCTCTTCATCCCCCTCCTCCACCTCAGCTGCCCCTGCTGGGAGATGATGCCCAAGAGATTCACTGAGCGCGTTCCACTGCTCGCAAAAGTGCCTGTTCGCAAACGTCCGAGCAGCACACGTCTACTCCGATGTCATGTATCGTAGTTCCCCCCTCGGCGGATCCAGGCCACTTGCGAGGAGTTGCCTTGCGAGCAGTGGACCGTGGTCTTGTCTAGAGATCGTCACCAGCAGGCGAGGGTGGCTCGTGAGGCCATCAGAGCCTGTGGAGGCCTGCTAACGAGCCTGCCGGGTCCCGCCGATCTTACTCCTCCCGACTCGGCTGCCGCGTTCCGCCGATGCGATTCCTTTCGATCGCTGATCCGACTTGTCGATCCGATTCCAGACGGTGCCCAAGAGATCGTCATCAGCAGGCGAGCGGGGCTCGTGAGGCCATCAGAGAAGTGCGAGCAGTGGAACGCGCTCTTGCCTAGAGATCGTCACCCGCAGGTGAGCGGGGCTCGTGAGGCCGGCAGGGCAGTGCCTCCGATGTTCTCCGCGCGCATTCGTGTCCTTTCGTTGGCTCCCGGCAGTCGCCCTCGGTGGGCCGGCGGCTGGGCTCCCCACTGCAGCGACCTCGCTGCTGCACGGCACGGCCATCGGCCACTCTTGGAGGGCACGGTGATCCAATCGGAGCTGCAAAGCGAAGGGCCTGAACGCAATAGATAGTTTCCCCCCCTTTACAGATTCACGAAAACGCCTCTTTTTTTTTTTTCTCTCTCTCTCTCTCTCTCTATATATATATATACATCTATTTTTATAGGGCTGGGGACGCCAGAAAAAGCCCCCCCCCCCCAACGAATTTGGCCCTCCCTGGGTCTCCGGGCATCCCTTCAAACGACCTGGGAGAACCTCACGAGAGCCCGAAGACGGCCCCAGACGGGTTCCAGGCGTTCTGGCGCGCTGCCGAAGCGACCCCAGAGAGCCCCAATACGGTCCACGACGACCCCCAAGAAGCCGTCATACCCCCAAAGATCGCTCCAAAACGTTCCAGGAGGCCTTCCAGGCAGTCCAAGAGAGCCCCAAAACGGCACAACATGGGTCCAAGATGGCCCTAAGAGAGCCCCATGGCGGCCCAAGATGGCCCCAAGACGCCCTTCGAAGCATTCCAAATCGTAACCCGGTCGCTCAGGCGGACCGCGGTTGGAGGCAGGGTGGCCCGAGGAAGCCCCCAGATGCCCCCAGAACACGCCCAGGAGGCCTCCAGAAGGCCTTAAGAAAGCCTGAACAACTTTTGTGAGGCCCCCAGAAGTTCTCCAAGGAGGAGCCTCCGCAAAAAGAGCTGAGGATGATGGGGAGAATGCGCAGGGTTGGGCGAGAATGAGGAAAATGAAGCATGGAGGAAGGATGCCGAAGAACATCATTATGGCGGCGATGCCGGAAAAGGCAACAAGGAGTTATCGCTAAATTGTCGGCTTGACCTTCCTGCTATTCCGCCTGCGCACCAAGCTTCAAGGACCAAGGTGCATGGCGCAAAGCGCCACTGCAGTCTTGTATATACATATGTATGTATGTATGTATGTATGTATGTATGTATGTATGTATGTATGTGTATGTATGTATGTATGTATGTATGTATGTATGTAGGTATGTAGGTATGTAGGTATGTATGTATGTATGTATGTGTGTATGTACGTATGTGTGTATGCGTGTATGTGTGTTTGTATGTATGTATATATGTATGTATGTATGTATGTATGTATGCTTGTATGTCTGTATGCATGTATATAGTTATGTATGTATGTATGTATGTATGTATGTATGTATGTATGTATGTATGTGTGTGTATGCATGTATGTATGTATGTATGTATGTATGTATGTATGTATGTATGTATGTATGTATGTATGTGTGTGTATGAATGTATGTATGTATGTATGTATGTATGAATGTATGTATGTATGTATGTATGTATGTATGTATGTATACATGTATGTATGTATGCATGTATGCATGTATGCATGTATACATGTATGTATGTATGCATGTATGTATGTATGCATGTATGCATGTATGCATGTATGCATGAATGCATGTATGCATGTATGCATGTATGCATGTATGCATGTATGCATGTATGAATGTATGCATGTATGCATGTATGCATGTATGTGTGTATGCATGCATGCATGCATGCATGCATGTATGCATGTATGTATGTATGTATGTATGTATGTATGTATTTATGTATGTATGTATGTATGTATGTATGTATGTATGTACGTATGTATGTATGTATGTATGTATGTATGTATGTATGTATGTATGTATGTATGTATAATGATATATATATATATAGAGAGAGAGAGAGAGAGAGACAGAGAGAGAGAAAGAGAGAGAGAGAGAGAGAAGCATCGGTGGTTTATCAACCGAGTGGGCGAGAGTGAGCGATCGAGCTGTCCCAGCTCCCCCAACTTGGCGGCGAAATCCGAAGCCGACCCTCGCCGATCAACGACTCGGGCAGCTCGATGGGCGGCCGGGGTAGGGTTCTGAATTCATCGAGCACGCGGCGGAGTCCGCACCTCCCCTCCGCCCCCCCATCGATCCAGGAGAATCGGTTGCTGGGGGGGGTAGGATTCCGATGTCGCCACCCGCCAATCTCCCCCTCATCCTGCACCAGGAGCGGCTTCTGCGTCCCTCACGCTCTCTCCATCCCTTTTTTTTTTTTTTCTCTCTCTCTCTCTCTCTCCCTCTCGCTTCTCCCTCCGCCCCCTGCATCCCTCCTGTCTCCCCTCTCTGCCTCTCTGCGTCCCTCGTCTTGCAAGTTGCATCATGATATCTATATCTATATATATATACACACGTAGACACACACATATACACAGATCTCTCTCTATATATATTGATACCAGAGAAGAACCCAATCATAATAGTTTTAGGGCTATGGGGCTACAGGGTTATAGGGCTATAAGGCTCTGGTCTGTAGGGCTATAGCTATAGGGCTCTAGGGCTATAAGGCTACAGGGCAGTAGGGCTATAAGACTATGAGACTATAAGGCTATGAGGCTAAAGGGCTACATACAGGGCTATGGGGCTACTATAGTGCTATAGGGCTATAGGGCTTTAGGGCTACTGGACACCAGGCCACCTGGGCACCCGGGCACCTGGGCACCCGGGCACTTGGGCACCCGGGCACCCGTGCACCCGGGCACCCGAGCACCCGGGCACCCGAGCCTTCGGGCACCCGGGCACCCGGGCACCCTGGCGTGACGCCGGCATCCGCGCCACAGCTAACCTAACCATCTGAATCCGCTAGGACCCCTACAGAGGCAAGCCCTGATTGGGGAGCTATATACCCATTCATATATTCTATTACCTGGACCCCCCCCCGAAATCAGACCCCCTGAATCCCAGGCCCCCGGGAATCTTCTTGACCTCCCGGATTCTTGGTCCCGGGGACCCCCTGGACGCCCCTGCAGAAGGCCCCCAGGCGTTTCAGAGCTGGAAGCCCTGGCTAGGCCTAGGCAACGGGCCCAAATCGGTCAGGAGGGCGGCCGAACGCCCCCCGAGGGCCCCAAGAGGCCCCAGACACCACCAGACGCCCGAAGACGACCCAAAGAAGACCCCCAAGAGGCTTCCGAAACGTAGATTGAATTCTTTACGCTTCGCGTATCCCCACCAGCCCATCTCACAACAGCAACTCTTGCGAAGCATGCCGACAGTCGTGTTTTTCAGGCGTGTCCGCTTGGCCTCGCATATCTCCCCTGTTCCTCCTTCCTCCCGCCTCCTTGTACATCCTCCTTGTGGGGGGAGCGGGAGAAGGACGAGGCGGAGGAGGAGGGAGAGAAAGCGCTCCTCGTGGTTTGAGTCGTTTGGGGTTTCTCGTCCTGGTGTGAGTCGTTCGGGCCCTTCTTCCTGGTGTGAGTCGTTCGGGCTCTTCGTGGTGTGAGTCGTTCGGGCTCTTCGTCCTGGTGTGAGTCGTTCGGGCTTCTCGTGGTGTGAGTTGTTCGGGCCCCTCGTCCTGGTGTGAGTCGTTCGGGCCCCTCCTCCTGGTGTGACTCGTTCGGGCTCCTCGTGGTGTGAGTCGTTCGGGGCCCGCGTCGTGGTGTGAGTCGTTCGGGCTCCTCGTGGTGTGAGTCGTTCG